GCTCCAGAGGTTTGACTTCACTCTCGTCCCGGGACAGACCTTTGACATCCTGGATGCTGGCACACTCAGACCAAAGAGTGGAGTGTTGTGCACTTTGAGTCACAGGGATTACAAAAATAAATGATCTTAAAGGACTTTACATAAAAAGTGGTCTATTTTTGGTCCCTGAGATATATTAATTTATAGGGGAAAAGAAAGTACAGCTTCAACACTATGTCACAGTTTTTCTACATGATTAAGAAATGCTTCTTTAGTAACTGAAATCAGCACAACTCTTTGAGTCTAAATTGTAGAAATAAATGTGTAAAAAGATCCTTGTCAAGAACAGAATGGATTTTCTTTTTTTTAAAATTTTATTTCATTGCTGTAATATTAATGGCCGTGGGCCAATTTGGCCCCCGGGCCTCATGTTTGACACCTCTGGTTTAAAGGGTAAAACTGATTTGATTTTTATTCCTGTCTAAAACTTGTGATTTAAAAAAAAAAAAAAAAAGAATTTAAAGAAAAAATTGTGTATGAACTACACTGTAAATTCATATGAAATGAATGTAATCATGCTTATGTCTTCATTATGATAATATATGGTAACATTATGGGGAGTGCTGGGTATAATAACGTTTGCACTTTGCATTTTAATCTTGCACAAAATCATCACATAGTTTGATGTGACTTTTTTTAATAACCAGTGAGCCAAGGAACCTCTTGTGCCTGCATAGCATCCAAGATTTTCATAAAAGTGCTGCATGTTATGAAAATGAAAATAAATTTTGAGATCCCACAGAATTTTTTTGTTTAAGTCTGCATGCTTCCAAGATGCTGTGCCATCCTGCTACAAATCACATCATCCCAGCGCCAAAGAAACCCTCAGTCACCTGCTTAAGTGACTATAGCCTTGACATGATGACACGATTGTTCTGCAGATTTTTGTATAAATCCTATTAACCCTTTAAGACCTACCATAGAACCAAGTCCGCCAGAGCTTATATTATATTTTTACATGCTGTGGAGCCATTTTTGGGAGCATTTCAAGTTGCTATACATCAATACAACCATTATAGCCCAAATTTTAATAATATGTATGCATTAAGTGCATAGTAATTACATAAATTGCAAAAAAGTGCAATAAACTACAAAAAAATTGAAAATCGTTTTTGTTTTTTAACATATATTTCTAGTTAGAGAAATTTAAGAGGCTTATCCCTCAAAACTGTAAATACAAAAAAGTTGCACAAAATAGTTTCCCACCACAGGAAATTTATTTTGAGTGTCTTCATAGTTTTATTTTTGAAATACACCAATTTTTATATACTGCAGGAAAAACGAAAATAAATATCTCTTTTTAATATTATAATGCAAATTTACAAAAAAAAACAGCATATGCATCAAAATAAACTATTTTCAGCAGTGCAATATGAGTCCTAAGCATCCCAGAAACGACACAGAAAGTCATAAAGTCAAACATAACCTTTAAAAACACCAGTATAGGCTCATAAGGCCCTGATGGTAAAAAGAAAAAAAACTACATTTCCGCAAAATAACGTCACTTCCGGTTTTAGGCAAGTCATGGCAGACATGTGATAGTTCGCACTGATGGACGTAGGAAGTGATACAAACAGCTGATCGGATCGGCAAAGCCTGTTTCTGGAATATTATGTTTTTGTTGCTGCAAGTGCTTTTTATGCAGTTTTTGCAAAGCTTTATGTGGAAGGAAACCGTGACATAGGGCAAGCTGATGTAAGTACAACTCCTCTTTTAATTTTAACTTTGTTTTATCGTTCGTTTATTGAGTCTGTTTTATCCTTTTGTTTGGTGGCATGGTTTGGTCAGACCTCTGTCACAGAGAAAAACTCTCTAAATCAGATAGTGAGATGGTCCAGTCGTCTGATAGGTGAGCCACAGTCTTGTTTAGCCTCCCTGTACTCCAAGCAGGTACAGAGGATGGCTTTATCAATCCTTACAAATGGTTCCCATCTGCTAAGGGGTGAATTTCAGCTTCTTTCCTCAGGACGGAGGTTTCTATTTCCGAGATGTAGGACAAAGCATTATAAAAATAGCTTTGTCCCCGTTGCTTTCTTTGAATTAAATAAAAACTGTTTTTGATTAAATATTAAATTACTATATATGTGCTACAGGGAGGTTTATATCTTTATTGGGTATGTGTGTTTTTGAAGGGATGCTAAATGCTATCATTTTTTTTGTAAAGCAAATTTACCTTGCCTATGGGTATAAATAAAGTTACCTTGACCTCTGGTTTCATATGCAAAAAAAAAATATTGCGCTAGCTTACGTGGTTGCAGTGCTACCGGGATTTAAAAATAGTTATGCAAAACAGAGCGTGCCCGATCCGACCGGCTGGGTTAACTACACTGTGAATACAACAGCCGTGGGTCTGATCCAGGACAGCGATGAGAGATAGTGGAGCTTTTCACAGTGTGGATCAGCAACAACAACTTTCTCCTGAATGTGAATGAAACCAAGAAACTGGTGACTGACTACAGGAAGAAACCCCTCATTCAGACTGCTCTACATCAACGACACCGCAGCAGAGAGCATGGAGCACATGAACTTCCTGCAGAGATGAGTCAGTGTGTTTATAGGTGAGCGGGTCTTCCATTACTTACGCTCATCCTCACCTGAGCAAAGTTCTTTCCCAGAGCACGACGAGGACCGAGGGCAAAGAAGGGTAGTAGCAGTAATAAGGCCTTGTTGAACAGACAAGAGACAGCCTCAGTTACTGTGAACCATTTTCCTCATTAGCTAATAATGACTGAAAACAAGAATAAAACATGTCAGCATGGTGAAACGGTGTGTTCCTTACTTGGGAGCATCTGGGTGAAATCTGTCTGGATCAAATCTCAGTGGATCCTTGAAGAATCTCTCCAGTCTCCCACTCGCATAGGAGCTGAACTAAACATTACAGTTTTATTTATCTCGATTCCAGGTAACTTTTTTTAAAGGACTTAAGCTGGTGGGGGGGCTGTTTGGGTTCTGTTTGAGTAAATGATTAGAAGCATACACCACACCCATCTTCAAACCAAAAGGTATTAAAACATTTTAAATCTTCACAACTTACAAGAGCAACAAATCCTCCAGGTATGTGGATCCCATCAATCACCATGTCTTCAGCAATATGACGAGATGTGCCCGGAGCTGTGGGGTACATTCTCAGAGTCTCTTTTAACACCTGGGGGAAGATTACAAGGAATACGTGTAATGTGTTAGTCTGCATTTAACCCAGTCACCCAGTGAAGCAGTGGGCAGCCACTGACTACTGAGCTATCCCTGCCTGTAAACTGGTCTTGTGTCATAACACACGAGATGCAGCCTTTGATTGTTAGTTGACAAACTTTGATTTTTAATCTCATGGATTCACACTGAAAACATTACCACAAAGTTAAAAAAAAAAAAAGAAGAAAAAGTAGCAGTTCTCCATCACGCTGGTTACTTCAGGGGTCTCAAGACTGACTCAGAGGGATTCAGGGTTCAAAACTCATTTTACTGTCATTCAGCACTACCTCAGGAAAGCGATGCAGAACAAAAATATGTGGCATGAGCTCAAATAAAAACACAAAAAACCTCATTGCGATGTTTAAAAAGAGGCAAGTGTGAGACATAAATAAATGTAAAATAACAAAAAACAGTGCTGCATATTTGAAAACACAAATAAAAATGATTCAATTATTGCACAAGAGAGCCGATGAGCTGATTGCACTGAAAATTCCTTCTTGACAGATTTGTAGAGTTTAATAATCTACAAAATAGCAGCTGTTTGAGCTGTGCAACAGTCTGATGGTGGTTGCAAAGAAGCTTCCACAGAACTGCAATGACCTGCACCTCTACGTTACTGTCTGCCTGAAAGCAGGAGTGAGAACAGACCGCTTCCCACGAATCAGAAAAACACTCGCTGCGAACAATGAGACCATGCACCTCTACGTTGACTGTCTGCCTGAA